AAGAGCTCCATTTTGGTCTCATCTGACCACAACACTTTCACCCAGTTGTCCTCTGAATCATTCAGATGTTCATTGGCAAACTTCAGACGGGCATGTATATGTGCTTTCTTGAGCAGGGGGACCTTGCTTGCGCTGCAGGATTTCAGTCCTTCACGGCGTAGTGTGTTACCAATTGTTTTCTTGGTGACTATGGTCCCAGCTGCCTTGAGATCATCGACAAGATCCTCCCGTGTAGTTCTGGGCTGATTCCTCACCGTTCTCATGATCATTGCAACTCCACGAGGTGAGATCTTGCATGGAGCCCCAGGCCGAGGGAGATTGATAGTTCTTTTGTGTTTCTTCTATTTCCGAATAATCGCACCAACTGTTATCACCTTCTCACCAAGCTGCTTGGTAATGGTCTTGTAGCCCATTCCAGCCTTGTGTAGGTCTACAATCTTGTCCCTGACATCCTTGGAGAGCTCTTTGGTCTTGGCCATGGTGGAGAGTTTGGAATCTGATTGATTGATTGCTTCTGTGGACAGGTGTCTTTTATACAGGTAACAAGCTGAGATTAGGAGCACTCCCTTTAAGAGTGTGCTCCTAATCTTAGCTCGTTACCTGTATAAAAGACACCAGGGAGCCAGAAATCTTTCTGATTGAGAGGGGGTCAAATACTTATTTCCCTCATTAAAATGCAAATCAATTGATAACATTTTTGACGTGTTTTTCTGGATTTTTTTGTTGTTATTCTGTCTCTCACTGTTCAATTAAACCTACCATTAAAATTATAGACTGATCATTTCTTTGTCAGTGGGCAAACGTACAAAATCAGCAGGGGATCAAATACTTTTTTCCCTCACCGTACAGCAGCAGGCGTCAAGGGTCGGGATTGAACTCACAACCTCCTTCATACTAGGCGAGGAAGTTAACATCTCCTAGCCAACCCCTATACAGTGCTGCGGTTGGGCCCTTAAAATCATCCAGTGTATACACAGAGGGCCCTGCACTACATTTCCATTTAAGGAAGTAAAACAAGGGTGGAAACGTGGGGTCAAATAAATGCTGGCTCTGCCAGTAAGCTTATCCACCCAGTTATTACAATGCACCATCGTTAATGCCTATGACCCCAAGAACAACATCCCCACCGTCAAACAGAGGGGGAAACATTATGCTTTGGGGGTGTTTTTCTGCTAAGAGGACAGGACAACTTCACCGCATCAAAGGGACGATGGACGGGGCCATGTACCGTCAAATCTTGGGTGAGAATCTCCTTCCCTCAGCCACGGCATTGAAAATGGGTCGTGGATGGGTATTTCAGCATAACAATGACCCAAAACACACGGCCAAGGCAACAAAGGAGAGGCTCAAGAAGAAGCACATTAAGGTCCTGGAGTGGCCTAGCCAGTCTCCAGACCTTAATCCCATAGAAAATCTGTGGAGGGAGCTGAAGGTTCGAGTTGCCAAACGTCAGCCTCGAAACCTTAATGACTTGGAGAAGATCTGCAAAGAGGAGTGGGACAAAATCCCTCCTGAGATGTGTACAAACCTGGTGGCCAACTACAAGAAACGTTTGACCTCTGTGATTGCCAACAAGGGTTTTGCCACCAAGTACTAAGTCATGTTTTGCAGAGGGGTCAAATACTTATTTCCCTCATTAAAATGCAAATCAATTCATAACATTTTTGACATGCGTTTTTCTGGATTTTTGTTGTTGTTATTCTGTCTCTCACTGTTCAAATAAACCTACCATTAAAATTATAGACTGATCATTTCTTTTTCAGTGGGCAAACGTACAAAATCAGCAGGGGATCTAATATTTTTTTCCCTCACTGTACGCACTCCCCAGAAGCTAAGGCCTTGAGGCCAATGATGGGTCATGTAAAATATACTACTTCATCTTCATGCGGGAGGGGGCACGGGGGGGGGTAACGCCCCGACCAATCTGAACACTTAGACGTTTATTTTCAGTAGTTAACAATTAAGCTTAACAATAAATTATATGCACCTACGATTCCTAATGCGAGTGGACAAAGCGATCCCCTGCAGCCCCCAACCCCCCCATCAAATATAGAAGTCAAACTTCGCCTTCCGCGAGGCAGGGGTAACGAGCAAGGCTCCAGCAACACTCCACATGGTGGAGCTGATGATGTCAGAATGCAGCGACCGTGCGGTTTGAGAATCCCATGTCCAACTGAGCAACCATCGTCGGTGACCTACCCACTACTAAATGAAGCCCCCCCCCCTCTCCCCCAGTAATGTAACGAATCCATCACAGCTCCCTCCCTGCACGAGGGCCGATAAACCATCGCTGCATCTTCCACGCTGGAGGTGGTCACAGCCGCTGTTGCTCCCTCCTTCTTTGGCCGCCGCTCTCACGAACAATTGTGGCCCCGTCCAAATGCCTAAACGTCTCAAGATGTAGTTGCGGGGCAAGCGTGTAACCGTGAACGACGCCACATCAGGACATATTATTATTATTGTTATCGTTAAGAGTAATAGAGTCATACAAAAACAACAATTGAGGCCGATTGAGCTGAGGCGTCGCAAGTCACGCTTCAAATGCCACGACCCCACGTTGTCAATGTTGAACTGTGCCCTAATCGGAGCCAGAGGAGGGTTATTATGGGGCCCGAGAGGCCACATCAGGAATAACTCGCACTCCCTTCGGGGTGGTGGAGCGTGAATCTATGGCAGATGGGGGGGGGGACGGGACATTGCAACATTTTAATTAAAACACCGAGTCAGCAATGAGCGAAGGGAGTGTTGTTTTTATTGCTCTTATTAAGAAAGGATAATGAAAATAAACAATCCCATATGAAACACAAAAAAGACGTGCAGTGTTTTGTATTTGGTTCATGGGGTCTCTGCGATTCTTGGACCCTGGGCAAATGTCCCGCTCGCCTCCGTCATCAAAATCCAGCCCTTGTTGGCGTCAGAGTGCAATAGCCGAGGTAACAGCATCTCAGATACTTTACGTATGCCAACAGCATACTGTATCTGTGGATCGCTCGTCTTTTGAGGGCCACAGCAGAGCGCACACGCGCGTGCGGGTGCTGTTTGCGATGTTATTTGGCGATCGTGTTGGGTCTCGCTATCCAGACGTCGACGGTTCGATCCCACCCCTCCGGGCGAGAGGGTTTGGATCAATCTGTTAAGTTTCTTAAATCTCTCTCCCCCCCCCCCACTCTACCCCATGATTCCGCCTCTGTCCACCGAGTAGTTAATACACCACAGTTGATTGTCAGGTAGCGCGTGGTGGGGTAAAATGTGGGCACTCGCACCGCTTTATAAGGTGTGTGGCCCGCGTGGGAAAAGTGGCAAAATTCCCCCCCCCCCCAGAGGCGGCTCGCTAGAGACCCCCAGACCCCCAGACCCCCCCCCCCCGTCTTATAAGGAAGAAGTCCCTTCCACCAGCAGTTTGAGTGCGAGCAAGAATTCACAATAATAGTTCAAATGTGTAATGCGCCCTCCACCCTAAGACACCCAATGTGCAAATGCATGGAAATCAGTGAAACAAAACAGAAATAGGAGCAACCGACCAAACTAAAGAGGGAAGGCCGCTTTAAAGAGATGAGGGGTCGAAGCAGACTTGAGTTTATCTACCGACTCCGATTGCCCTGATTTCAAGTGGCCCGCTCCTTTACAGGATCCTTAGCACACACGTCGAATAGTGCCACCGGACGAAATGTTCAGCATTGGGCACAGTAACCTGATATGGGATCCTTTATGCACGACTTACCATCACGTCCACCCCACATGGTGTTCCCGACACCCCCCCACCCAGCGGCAAGAAAGGCCTCTCTTTATTCGCACCAACAACACCACCACCGCGACTAAAGGCGTCTGAGTGCCAGTAAGGAATTCCTCATCCCGAATGACAAAGGTCACGAGGGCAATGATGCAAAACAACAGAACAGTTTTCGACTAAATGCCTAGACTAGGGGCACCTGAAATCCCTGCTAAGTCTGCACATTGTCATCTGTGGTGAGGTACACAGTCAAAATAATGTCACGCTCGAATGAGCAACTCCCTTCTTTCGTATGGCTGCTGATGTAGACGCGGTGCAACAACTACAATCTCACGTTGAGGTAGTCAAGCCCAGACAACCGCGCCAGGAACAAGCAGGGTTGTGCATCGCTGCGATGTCTCCTTCGCATTTGTGGATCGGAGCATTGCATCGTTATCCGTTGTTACGGTCTGTTATGGTTGACCACAGTCGCACACTACAGCACTGGAGACTTTTTAATTTTCAATTTTGTGCATCAGATATCCGCATCTGGCACGGTTTGTGCGGTGGGTGCGGTTTGGGGTGGAGCACGAGATTTGTGGAAGATTAAACCCAGGGGATCTTCTGCATTGGGTCTTTAAAACGAGCACTGAGGTGGTGTTTGTCTCCTCTTTACAACTCTGAGTCAGTGGTGGGAATCCACATTCCTATGGCGGGGGCTGGGGGGGAGGATGGTGGGTTTATCCATAGGAAAATCACTGTCGACTTCCCGGGCCTATTGGTACCAATTTTATCGACCCCCTCCGGAGGGATGATGGGCTGAGTCAACCGTCAACCAGAGATGTGAACCCCGCACCCTTGCCATCGCGAGCCGCCGCCTGGCCGGTAAAAGTCGCTAGGCGTTTGGCTGGAATGACTGACGCGTCGTCTCTCAGGGAAACCCCCAAACCTCGTGGCGAGATCTCGAGACAGCCGTAGCTCAAGTTGGCAGCCTCTCGCTCCAACTCATTTGGCCACGCGCAATGAAAATCCAGCCAAGACCAACGAAAACCTTCATCCTCCACTTTGGAGCGGAGAGGCCCTCCAAGAACACGGTGGGGATGGCTGGGGGTTGGAACTGTCTTTTTTTTAATCAAACGATGCATCACGACGAAATGTGAGAAATTATTGACTCGTGCGGAACGCATCGGCCCGGTTCGATCGGGCTCATATAGGGCGGATGTAACAATGTGTTGAAAATCACAAGCAAGAGGTTTATTTATGTATTTAAAAAAGGAAGGGGAACCAAAGCATTTGAAAATAAATCTTTAATAAGTATAACATCAACACTTCATGAACAAACAAACAAAAAAACACCACTTTCAGAAAAACATCTATTTCTGAAATGTAGGTACTGTGCTTGTGTGAAATGTGCCCTACTTTATTCAGGATTGATCGTGAGCGCGCGTGTGTATGCCACGGCTGGCACCAGGGCACGGACGAACAGAGAGTCACGAACCACAGAGCCGCTGTCCGGTCCGGGCACCACTGCACCACTGCTCCCCCCCCCCACCCCCCTGCCTCTCCGGGTGGCCTGTGCAGAAGTTCTGCTGACCACCACGGGGGTTGGAACGATGCACCACCGAACCGATCGAATCGACGTCGATCGATAAAGCTCGCACAGAACACGCGTCAAATTGGCCGGTATGAGAAATTCCACGTGACTGTGTGCGCCGCTTGTGATGGACGCGAAATCGCCTTGCAGCCGCAGTGTTTGGGTGAAACCATTCTGAGATCGAAACGGGACCCTGAATTACAAGAAGGGCTTGGTGGTGCATCATAACATCCCTGGTAAATCAACATACATGGTCCATGAAAAGTGGTTCAATAACCCAGGCTTTAACAGCCATCCACACACAAAGCAGACTGACGGATGCACTTTTCATTGAAACCCAAGGTCCACCGCAGGCCTTTTAAATACTGTACATCATTACACCTACTTTTTCCACACTTCCATCTGCAATGCGTTCAAACCGACCATAAGCAAAGACAGTACGGCACCACCTCACTCATGTGACCATCACATTCACCCTGACCAACTAACCGGCCACACCGAAGTAGCAGGATTTGTGCGCCGCGTGTCATCTGTGATTTTCTACCAGATGTTCCGAAAACCTTTGCGCACGCAGTCTCTTAACCTCGTGTGCGTCCGCTTCCTTCTCAAGCACGGCGAAGAAGAAGCATTTCCCCACCATTCAAAGCTGTTCCATCTCAGTCGCGATGAACTCAACCGTCGTTTTCTGTAGATGATCTCATATCCGGCCTTGTCACGAATCTGCCTACGCCGCAGCCTCCCCAGCGAGTCGGATACGCGACACCGTACCGTAAGGCAAATGCAGACTTGCGTCGAGTACCGTACGGGCTTGACACCGGCGAGCCAAATGGAAATTTGTAGGACAATATGGAAACCGGCGGTCAGAGCGGCCAGGTAAGGTTACCCCCTGGCTTCTGGCTGGCCATTATAAGCCACACAATGACAGCGGCACCCATCAATCATTCATCCATTGCCCTGCACCACGCAACGCCGCTGATTCGTCGACTTTGGCGACGAAGCTCAAAGTAAAAAGAGTTTTAATTTTTTATTTTTTAACCGCGCTTCTGATTTTTTTTATATATATACAGTTCATGATTTGAATGACACCTGGCATTCAACTTTGGACTCAACTTTGGACGCGATCTACAATCCGTGTAGAAATATCCCAATCGTGCGCAGTGGATTCCATACCGCTCGTTTGCTCTCTGAGAGCGGGGTGTTTGGAACGGTCACGTCGCGCGTTCTGACTTCTGGCGTCGCGTTCCTTCCGAATTCGCACGGACACACACAAAGGCGCGGTAGAGCGAGCGTGCGCGTGGCTTGGAACGTCATCGCCTTGGCCAAAAGAAGGCTGCTTCATTTGTATCACTCAGTTTTTGTTATGCGCAAGGGCCTTCAATCCATTTGGCCACTTTATATGTTTGTGTTTAACACTATAAGTCCCAAGTAGACTTTAGACTCACAGAATCAATGTGGCTTGGATCGGATCAGCTTCACGTGACGTAGGAACAGACGGACGGAGCTCATGCGTAATAGATGTCTTTGGGTAATATCGCGTGAATTTAAATGTGTCGTTAAACCCGCCACCACCCGACAGAGCCAGTTGGTAAGGTTCGTCACGTGAACAAAACGTGCCAATTCGTTACTGTTCAGCACACCGGTGTGTTGGAGGGTAAACCCACAACATTTACAATTTGAGTCGTACGACGTTTCGGCGCTAATTCCAACAACCAGCTTCACGGTGCTCAAATTGTAAATGCCGTGGGTTTACTCTCCACCACATAGCCGGTGTGCTGCACGAGTAACGAGTTGGATTTTTTTTGTTTGTTGACGTGACACACCTTAGTAATTGGCTGTGTAGGGTGGTGGCGGGTTTAACGACACATTTACGCAATATAACCCAAAAACCTCTTATGGGTAACAATGGTCTCGAAAGCCTACTTTGTGTTAAGCATAGCGAATGCATTCGTGCTTTCAACCTTGGTCGGAAAGCATAAAAAAAAACAATTGTGCTCATCTGCACCTTACCAATGGACCCAGCTCTGTGATTGTAGAAACTACTGAATTCTGGCGGGTAAACCAATAACGAAATAAATTAACCCTACCCCAGGCATATAAAGGGCGCTTCCGGCTCACTTTTCCAAACATATTCTATTTGAAGTTGCAAGATGCATAAAAAGACCATGTTTAAACAGTTTGAAACACACACATACACACAGCAACACATAACCCCTCTGCGCGTATGTAGAACTTCTTTTGCACCGTACTTAGTCAACAGTGCTCACATCACTTCATGTGCCAATACAAAAATATATACGCTACTTACATTAGACAATTTGAAAACCCTGCAGAGGGCACAAACACTCCCTGTGCAGTCGTGTATTTTGTAAAACATGGATAATATGTTACTTTCAAATAATCTTTAACCGAACAAGGCTCTCACTGTGTTGACCTGAGCTGCACTTCCAACCCAGGCAAAATCTTCCGGAAACAACTCGGCTATTTCCAGACTCAGCAGAGTACAGCCGTCGGCCGCATTATAGACACTTATCGCATGTCCCAGGGACTTTGTTGGCAGGAGGCCTGCTATCTTTGTCCCATGCATGTATGTGGAACTTGTTCCGCAATGTACGTAGCCGGCCGCGTTAATCCGAGGCGCTGTGCGCATTTTAACTTCCACGAACACTGAGAACGGCGCTCCCTGTCCCAGAAATGACTCCACAATTTGGCCCAGGAATTACCCAGACGTGACGCAGAAGCAGCATCAGGCCTGAGCCTCCGTCCCTATGCCCCACATGCAGTTGGACTCTGTGGGCTCTACTCGTCACATTTGTTATGTCCCCTCAGTGCCCATTCCCTTCCTCCATCATCTGCGTCCGGGAGCTGGGTGGGTGGGCGGGGGAGGAAGCAATCTAAAACAATACCCATACTTTTCTTCGATAAAAAATATATATTAAACTGTGGTTCGGGGAGGCTATTTTACGCTGAAATCTATTTGTCTTGTGATTTTCCACTGCACAATTTTAATGCGCACGTGGCCGACGAAAGTTAATCCGATCGAGTGATGTCACAGCACGTGCCTCTTGCTCCTAGGTTGACCCTGACCGGCTCTGGGGTCAGCCTTGCTCTGAGCATACAGCTTGGTATGAGACTGAGAGCCGAGGGTGAGTCTAGAAGTCTGTAGAATCGGTTTGGCACGGGCCAGGTTGCCGTGGACACGCCAGCCCTACCGACGTAGCACATGATTCCCGCCTTCCTGTCTAACCAAAGGCTCCGGGTCCGCCCCATCTCACGAACACCAGCAGCTCCTCTGTGGACCCTCACGCGTCCGCGAAGGCGCTCCCATCACTCACGTGCGTTCTGCCTGCTGGAGATCTCCTCTTCAAGGCACTTGACGACCACGGGATCGACGTGCGGGTCGAACTTGTTCGCGAACCAGTGGCCGTCCCGCAGCAGCCAGCCCAGCTCAGCCGCGCCGTAGATGCACACGCTGCGCACGTGCCGCCCGGAGCACACCGGGTACAGCCGCCCCTCGAGGTAGCTCCACTTGACGAGCCGCGTCTTGCTCTGCAGGTCCGACACGTCGGCTTTGCCGCCGCCGCCGCCGCCGGGGGCCTGCGGCGAGCGCGCCAGGGTGGCCCAGAAGTGCTCGTCGGGCGAGTAGGTGTCGGCGCACCAGCGCAGGAAGTCCGCCGCCACGGCGCTCGTTATCGCGAAGCGGACGAACTCCCGGCTCAGCACGAAGTAGGCGCTGCCGACGAACACCTCGAGGCCGTGCGGCGCCGGCGCCAGCGCCGTCTGGGTGTGCTGCAGCGCCGGGAGGGAGGAATCCCTCCTCTCGAGGACAAACTTGTGCGTGAACCTCTGCTGCTTGTACGCCGACGGCTTGCCGGTCTCCAGCATGCTCCTGCCTTGCAGGCTCTTCAACTCGCTCACGAGCTCTCGGTTGGACCGCAACGGAAAGTCCTGCCCGCACAGATTAATCGCGTATTTCCAACGCACGGGCGATTTCAGCAGGTCGGCGAGGCAATTGATGTCGGCCTGCAAGCGCGAAATATGCGCGTAGTGCACCTCCTCCAGCTTGGACGCTACAAATACGTTGTCGAAACACTTCGCAAGACTCTGCACGGCAGACTTGAACGTTGTGGACGACTTGGTGTCGACGTGTACGCAGTAGACGTTCTGCGGCACGAAAATCGCACGCAGCAGGCGCTCGAGCGTCGCGGCGTTTTTGTGCACGACGATCGAATACGCGATGGGGAAGTCTCTCTCCTCCGCGGACACGTGCTTCGAGAAGTACTTCCTCGTCTCCAAAAACACCGGGCAGTCTTCGGTCAGGAGCAACATGTCTTCGTCGGTCAGGTCGACTATCGTCTTCCTCCGGATCTTCAGGGTTTTCCCAATTTCCCGCGGATCCTGCTGGAGGATCTCGCTGCACCGGATGTTGTAGAGCTCCTTGTCGGCGGCCTGCCACTCGGCGGCACTGATCTGCCACTGGACCAGCTTGGAGGTGCTCAGGGAGGGCTCCATGAGCCACATGTCCTTCAACCTGTCCGAGTGGTCGTCGGTGTGATGCACCGCGTATATCAGGAAGGAGAGCAAAACTGCCACAAGAATTATAACCTTCATGATCTGGCGCCATAGCTTCGCGATCTCGCAGAGATTCCTTTTCACCATGGTGCGTCGCAGCATCAAGGGACCGTGGCGTCAAGCCGCCGGCTGGTGTGACGCGATGGGAGAGCACGCTGCCGCTGGTGCGAGCTCAGTATCCGCCGGCTGGTGTGACGCGATGGGAGAGCACGCTGCCGCTGGTGCGAGCTCAGTATCCGCCGGCTGCAGGAGACGCGCGCCCTCCAGCCCGCCAAACCGAGCGGCCCGCAACATCTGGAGAAACACCGCAGGTAACGATCAGGATGGCGACCCTCTCACCCCCACGCTCGTCGTACACTCGGCGAGTGGACGATCGCCGTGAACCCAGCGATTCACTCGATGGCCACTCAAGATTTCCCTTGTGTAGCCTTCACAGGCCGCCAGGGATAGTGCTACTGGCGAGCAGCACCCTTGAAGGTTGGTACGTCACACACCTTTTCTATGACCTGCGGTGTTCAAACTGAATACAGAAAATACATCAATGCCGGAAATCATCCAAAACTAAATTAAAATGCATTTCATCCACTGTTTAAGCACATGACCGGGGTAAAATGGTAGCACAGTGGTTAGCGCACTGCACTATGGTAACTCTGGTGGTAACCTGCATTCGAATCCCGGCCACGGCTAACATCAGTGACATCTGAACTGGCCCTCTTGTCTCCACCCCCATGTCCCTTCACCAACCCATACTGAGCAGAATGGTGAAGTATGGTGGGAAAAAACCCTCCATAACCAATACGTGGGGGATAGGGTGTGGGGGGGGCTTCATCTTGCAGTGGATTATTGACAAAGTGATGTGCATGAGCTTCATCAATTGAGGGGCTGTCATCACGAGTGGCGTGAGTTCATCACGAGTGGCGTGAGCTCGTCAGGAGTGGCGTGAGTTCATCACGAGTGGCGTGAGTTCATCACGAGTGGCGTGAGTTCATCACGAGTGGCGTGAGTTCATCAGGAGTGGCGTGCCAAATTGGCAGCGTTGAAGCCGCCACCGGTGGGGATCGAGCGAATTTCTTGTCTGTCACCGCAACGATCGTGAGTCGCGGACTGTCCCTGTATAAAATAATTATGGGGGTGGTGGTGGTGGGGGTAGCTGGGAGGCTCAGAGGAGGTCAAAGCACAGAGCTGGAACTGCTCAGATCCTGGGTTCAACTCCGGGCAAGCTGCCTGTGATTAAACTTGTGTTCTCAAGTGTAGTCAGTTTATGTTCCCAGGCCAAATCGCCAATGACTGCACACACACACACAAACAACCTAATCACATTACATTTGATTCCGGAACTTAAAAGTGGCTCATTTGTAGCTCTGAGAATGAACAAAAAAATATTGGTTTGAACGTCATGCGATGAACATCACTCTCAGCGCATGGGGGAAGTTCTGCCCAGAACCCTCCCGCGGGCCGATGTACAACACGAAGAAGGGCCACGCTGATCGGAGAGAGATCCAAACGGGTACCACGGTTCATGGTAACTATTGGTAAACGTTACCAGGCAAACAGCGTCAACATTGACAATTCTTGCCAAGTGGAGAAAAAACATCCGCTTCATGAGAGTAAGGAAGATCGTGACTTTTCCACAAAGGCACTTCATTGACAAAGCACACACCGTGACACTTTGGTTATAGATTTGAAGTTTTAAATAAACAAGTCACGACGTTTCGATTGCTTGTGTTGCAATCGAAACGTCGTGATGTTTTTCTTTCACCTACGTGACTTTACCGAAAGAACCAAAGAGTATGGATCCTTGCAGCCACGAAAACTTTAAATCCAGAATGAACCACACATCGTGAGTCAGGTTTAATGTACTACCTATGTACATGGAGTAACAGACTGCATAACAGACACAAGGCGGGGGGGGGCTTAGTAAATGATTTGCCAGGCGGTGGCTACCACGTGGCCTGTAATCCAGTACTGTGGAGGCAGCGTGGGTTGGTTGATCGCAGCACAAATGTTGTCAAACTCCCCGTGAGTGTCAAGGCGCCACTTACCCTGACTCGCAAGGGGGAGGCAGTACAGCAAACGGAATAATCACCATCTGTGTCCATCTGCATGGGGATAGAGCGTTGCCCCCTCGCGGGCATGGATTTTCTCCGGGCGCTTCAGTTTCCTCCCACTTGCATAAACTCATCTTTAATGAGTTGAAATTATCTTAAAATAAAAACCCAATGTAGGACCCTCCTGGTATTTGATGATAATCTATAATTGAACTAAATTTTTCTTTTTAAAAAAAGATAATTTTCCTATTGCGATTATGATTTACTGGCTATTTTTTCCTCTTATCTGTTATTGTTCATTGTTGACTTATTTAACTGTGACTTGTTGCGTTTGTAGGAGAATCGTTGTTGTTGTTGTTGTTTGTTGATGAACCCCGATTTAAGAGCTTCTTGGCTCACAGGGTACTTCAAAACAATTTCAACTGAAAAATCTTTCTGCGACTCAGTGTGGCTCTCCGGGATAAATAAGCAAAATGTAAGCGTCTTAAAAAACACATTACATCAACGCTTTTGTAGATCGACTAATTGTGGAACCCCCATTTACACTGCTGTTGACTGGGGTGAGCAGTCACTTAAGAAACTTTCCGCACCAGGAGATGGAATCAAACTGGCGAACCTCTGGATCGCAAGTCCAGGGCGCTGACCATTACACCGCAGCAGCTTCCTTGCACATTAAATTACAACGGCCAAACTTCACTGCACATAAACCGAACGCTGTATTATTTATTCATGCAAACAAATGTGTAATACATTATGCCCTGTCATGAGTCACAATTTGCATTTATGCAGTATCAACACCTAAGTGCATGGCTATGTCAGACACGGAGACAACACACACAGTACCTGGAGAGACAATGTCGTTCTCTTGCCGAAAATATATGTTTTAAAACGCTTCTGTGAGAAACTGTGCGGAACTTCTCATAGGCGGACGTAGTTTCACGGTGCTCTGATATGCACGCACACAAGCTACTCACTTTCAGCCAAATTCACCAAATTGAACTGCAGGGTTATGCGAAAACTGCCGTACGTCAGTTACGGAAAATAAAAACTGTTTAATCATCGTTTCACTAAATTTCAAACGACGATCCTGCACCATTGCAGTGAACATACAATGAACATTAATACTTCTTCGTATTATTAACCAGCTACCTGCTTCTGCCGTAACTGATGTAACCTTATTTGGGGAATTACCATTGGTGGAAATTCCAAATTTACATGGCAGGCATCAGTAAGATCATAGAATATGGCTAGCCATCAAAAAAAGACGGTCACTACATCGCGCGCTTTCGGATGCGCTTCTGGTGCCGTCTGGAACGTTCTTCCTTCCCATATTAGGAAACCATTGGAGCTGTGCACTTTTCAATCATTTAGATCAAAAACAAATTTCTTTAGGACAACTTTTTTTTCGTTTAGTTTATTTGTCCTTGCCCCGCACCTCATATTAGCATGGCTGGCTATGTACGGTGCAAAATAAGCTCAACAGCAGCTCTCTCCGTGAAGCAACCCGTCGTGTGTGGTGGGCTGTAGGGGGCTGGATCCTTTCCCTCCCCTCCCCCACTGCTGAATGCTCTGCCGCCTTCCCATACAAACTTATTTTATGTCAAGTAAATAAAATGTTGGTAGACTATTTAGCACCACTGGTGGGTTTTTTTCTTCACAGTTTTTTTTATTTTAGCAGGTAAGCCCCACTGAGCTATGTAGCTATTTTTCAAAAGCGACCTGGCTTTCACAAATGATACTTGAACGAAGTGGCTTATCACGTGGAATTTTGGTGCAGCCAAATACTCTAAACACACATTGCTAAATGTGGAGGGAAAATCCGGAAGAGCCAGAGAAAAATCCACGCGACCACGGGAACAACGTGCAAACTCCAAATATACAGCTGGCGTCAGGGTCGGGATCGAACCTGCGGCCTCCTGTTTACCAGGCGAGGAAGTTAACATCTCCTAGCCACCCTACACAGGGGGTCACGGAGATAAAGCAAGAAGGCACAGTAGACAAGCAGGTCACATCGCTACTCTGTTCGGCATTTCAACTTTCAGTTAAAGTTTCGTTTAACATCGCTTGTGTCGTGACCCCTACCGCCCTGATATATTGTATGCCCCATGCCCCCCGACTGTGAAATTAGGTGACACTACAGCATTTGTTGTGTAGTGTGTAGCAGGCTGTGGAGGTTTAATGATTGCGTTCGGACAGCTTGCTCAGAACACGGCTCGCCTATCAGTGGTGTAGAGTTTTTTTTAATACATATATACCGTGCCGCGTGTATAAATAGCGTTTTGTGAAACGCTACACGTGTCGGCATTCTGCAGGTGCGGGGTGGGGGGAGGTTGTCGGCTATTTAAAACCCGTTGGCCACGTTCGCGACGGAAAGTTGTGCCACCAATTTGCATGGAGGCGCGGGTACACCTCAGGTTAATGTTGTACGTGCGTGCCGTCCAATTGGTTAACTGTTTAAAATTGTCTTTTAAACTATCTATATATATTAAAATTTTACCAGGTAAGGCCCACTGAGCTGTTTTCAGAAGCGATCTGCCTATCATAAATTGTAGCCCAACTAAGTGGCTTTTCATCACGGGGAAATGTAAAACTATTTGTGGTAGCCAGGTCGCTTCTAAAAAAAGAGATATACAGCTCAGTGGGCCTTACCTGGTAAAATAAAAACTGTTTAGTGTAGTTTAGTTTACTCTCAACTCATGTTTCTAAATGTGGAGGGGAAAGACTGGAGGACCCGGAGAAAAATCCACGTGACCACGGGGAGAACATGCAAACTCCAAATATACAGGCGTCAAGGTTAGGGTCGGGATCTAACCCACAACCCCCTGTATGTCAGGCGAGGTGGCCACCGTGGCGAGATGTTTTGGCCTGAGCACAGGCCATAGACATCCAGCGGCCAGAAACAATCAGCACTATCACAGTTGTGAGAGATAAAGAGCTACTACATTTCCTGAAATGAGCTACGTACGATGCGAAATAAGTTCAACATTCAAGGTTGTTATTATTATAGGAGCTTGGGAAAGGAGATGATGGGAAGGAATTGTAAAGTGCAGCAGTTGTGAGGGAAGGAGTGCGTGCAAGTGTTGTTGTGACCTGTAGTGTGGTGAGTGTGTGGGTGAGTGGATGGGTGAGTGAGTGAATGGTTGAGTGGGTGGGTAATTGAGTGAGTAAATGGGTGGGTGAGTGTGTCAGTGACTGCTTGAATATGTAAGTGTGTTAGTGATCAGGTGAGTGAGTGAATGGTTGAGTGGATAAGTGAGTGAGTGAATGGGTGGGTGGGTGTGTGGGTGACTGCTTGAGTAGGCGAGTGGGTGAGTGTGTGAGTGATCGGGCGAGTGAGTGCATATTTGAGTGAGTGGGTGGGTGAGTGAGTTGTGGTGACCTGAAGCATGGTGAATGAGATGAAACAGTGAGTCTGGTAGACATGGGTGGAGCAATGAAGGAGCAAAGCGACCATGGCATTTGTAACCATGGTGAAGGCGTGATAAGCCGACTTATTTCCACAATTTACAAAAATAGTTGTAAAATATACTTGACCTGCAATATACATAGAGTGTAGCATTGCATGCTACACTAATGAATAGCAATGGGCTTTTGCTTGCTTAAACACCAATTAGGTTTTTTTACACTATGTGTGTTATGTCAACATTTCAGACAGCTGTCTGATGACGCAAACATTTGGCACTCTTCCACCCTGGACTTTGGGTGGAAATGTGTTGTTCTGGGAACAGGCGTGTCATTCTGCTTGTGTAAACACACGCATGGGTAGCGGTCCTGTTGTGGTTTGCGCAATGCACTTCGAACCCGCTTGTCCCGAATATGAATCCCGCTCACGGCCAACATCGTTAATGAGTATCTGAACTGGTCCTCCAGGTTGACTCGGCCTAAAATGAGTACCTGGTGCGGTGGGGTGAACATCACGACTGGGGAGACAAAGGTGGCCGGGCGTGGTGCTGGCCACCAACCCCCTTCCGTAGGCAATACGGGGGATTTTATCTTTTATCTATTTACTCTACACGGCGTGTACGGTCGGTTACGTACGGCGCAAAAGAAGTTCAACATACATACGTAGTCTCCTCTCCAGTTGTATGGTTGTGGTCCCCAGAAAAATGTGGGAGCTCCCAACTGCCGCCCGAGCGTCGAGGGTTCGATACCTACGCAGGCGATGCTTCATCCAGCCACTCCGCTTTGAGGAAGAAACTAAATCCCACGTCGGGTTTTACAGAGCCCCAGGTGCCACACAGGGGGGGAGGGGGGGGGGGCGACAATTGGTGATGAAGTATGTCCATGACGCTGCCCGGCGGTAGCCTCGTCCGCCCCTTTGTTGCCGAGGCCCACGGTTCGAATCCAGCGCCCCCCCTCCCACCACGATGAGTACCGGCGCATCAAACACTACGGAGTGCTGCCCGCTTCAAGGGGGACGTTCGAGATCCCGTGGAGTCACTCACAAGAGTGGAGCCTCATCGTATGCCGGTGTCAATGTCCAAAGTTTGAAAAAGTACACGGCAATAATTTGGCCCATACTGCGAAAACTTGGCAGGACCCTCCTGAAGAAGAATGTCACGAGACTCACGTAGATAGAAAACACAAAATAAAAAAAAAATATCTAAAATACAAATAAAAAATTAAAAGAATAAAATAAAATGTAAAAAGTAATAAAACAAATACAAAATGTAAAATTATTTTATGAAGTTAGTTTTATTTTATTATTTATTTTCTATTTTTCCCCGATTTTTTTTCCTTTTCTATCTACGTGACTTTACCGAAAGAACCAAGAATATGAATTCCTGCAGTCACGAAAGTTTTAAGTCAAAATGTAACAACAACAACAATCACCATCACCACCATGTAATGATGACCGGATCTTCTGAGAAGCCGCGTGCGTTGTGCGCCCATCTGCTAAAGAAGCCACTCAGCATGAGCTCACGGCCATCGCATTTCAGTCAATCGGAGAATTGAAAACCCCCAAGGGTTGGTCGTACCTAATACCGCGCAACGCTTCCGCGGTTGTGCTCCGCGGCTCTGTCCCACGTGTTGCCGTGTTGTCCCTCGTGTTTTCCAGCACAGTGTCAGTCCAGCGCCTTCAGAAGCTCCCAGCGTGTGCAGCGTAACGCCAGACGTCCTGCCAAAGTGATAAATAAAATACACACATTTGCAAAGTGCTGCACAGACGAGCGAGAAAGCTCTGCGATCCTATTTTGAGATATTTGGTAAATTCCATTAATGAGAATTTTATACACGTGAATACCAGGATAGAACATACGCATGCAAGGGAGGAAGAAGAGGGGGGGGGGGGGTGATCCCCGTGAAGATAGATATGAACCTACTTGCTATACTGCCGTACCCTGGCAAGCCAGGTGATGGTGATATCGCAGCCCAGAATTTCACTCATTTCTGTCATCCACCAACAACCCTGGCTTCAAGAGTGCCGGATAAGCGCGCGGGCAAGGAGCAGAAAAACACAGCGGCGAGCTACTACTACTGCCCTCCGAGGTGGAGTTTGCAGACTCCTCAAACCTGGACTTACCCGAGCGCTCAAACGCAAACCTTGCAGCGGCCGGGACCCTGCCAACGGGACGCTGCTCACGGAACTGTCGGCTGCCGAGCCGGTGGTGGCCTTGGCCGACTGATCGCGACTGTTCCACGCGAACTGGCTGTGTTGCACTATAAAAGCATCCCTCCTCGCTCTCTCGTAACCATACCGCCCCTGTCTCCGCTGTAATCCAATACCAGAGACCCGCACGCACGCCGCGAGCGACACCCCCCACACACACACACATCACCCGCCCACCACCACTTAATGCCCAGAGGCTCCGGTGGGCACACACACACAGACACATCACGAAGGTTCGCGCTGTTTAGCCAACCAACCCCGCAAGGCAAAGTGTGCCAACGCCGACACGTGGCTGCATATCGGCAAGTGATGTTTAAAGCACACGCATGCACTAATACACGTGCACTGACACGCGTAGTAGTAGTATTGTTGTTGTTATACACACATACAAATGCGTGGTGTTAATGCACGTGTATACACAAGTATACGTTTGAATGAACACGTGTGTAAGTGTTGTGCATCACACTTAGCTCGGTTGTCTTAGGCTGTTAAGGTTATCACGGTATGTAACCCAAAGTCAAATGGCAAAGACATTTCCTGGCCAAATGAGCCTTGAGGCAGTAGGGGAAATTCCACATTATCATGGTGGGGGCGAGTCTATTCACAGGACAACCCCTGTTGACTTCCCCACAAAGCGGTACAAATTTGATCTACCCCAGGATGTGAACTCGCGACTTTTCCACTGGGAGCCGCTCACTCTACCGCCGAGCCACTGAGATATTCATTCTGGGTATTTTCCTGAGATGGAGCATCTCGTACGCAAGGGAGTCCAGAGCGTCATGTGACACATGCCTCGTAAAAAGAGACAAAGATCCCCTGTATAGCCTTAACACACTGTTGGGGCAAGTGCTGTTAGTGAGCACCTATGAAGGCCAGCACGTCACACGAGGGGGGGGGGGGGGTGGCCAGCACCACGCCCGATCGCCTTTGTCTCCCCAGTGGCGATGTTTACACGCCGTACCAGGTACTCATTTGAGGCTGAGTCAACCGAGGGGAGGCCCAGGACCGATTCGGATAATCGTCAGCGGTGTTGGTGGCCGTGAGCGGGAACCGAACTCGAGTCGCCGGGGTTCGTGGCGCGGCACGCCGACCGCTACGCGCCGGAACGACACGCGCGCACAGCACTGCCGGACATAAGCCTCCTCGTGCCGTGTCACTCGTTGTTTCATCATACTTCACCACTCTGGTCGGTGCGGTTTTGGTGAAGGCGACGGGGAGGGTGGCGACCGAAGGGCCCAAGCTAGTTGGGATGTCGCTCGCCACCGATGTTGGCCGCTCCTTGTACCCACGTGTGAGCGAACGAACGAGGGACCTGTTTGTTGACGGTGTTGTATTTCTTCAGAATAAATGTAAACGCGTGGTATCCGGGACGCGAACAATGTCTGGCAGGAAGAATGAACGCGCAGACATGTTTTATCCGGCCCAGCGCCGAGAAAAAAAAAGCAGTGTTTTAGTCCAAGTTTAAAATGTATGAAATCATATCAGATGACTGTAAATACGCCCATTGTATAATACAGCAGGAATAATAATAATAATGGGGAGATGAAAACGGCTCTGCTTGTTGTTGCGTCGCGGTGATCCATAAGTGGTGGTGGCGACGGCGGCTCGAGGGGGACGGGGGGGGAGCATTTATCCAGCAGTGGATTGGCCATGGCTGGTGATTAAAATCATTATAATGTCCTTTATTTACCCAGGAAAGCCTCTCTCAGTTCCAAGACTTTCATAGAGGAGGGCCCCCCCCCCCCTTGGGACGTCTTGTCCAGTGCCGCTCACGAGTGATTGTGTCGCGCGAATCCTTTTACAGATACCCCATTGGTTTTAAAACTAAAATAAAAACTACAAACACATTTTTTTTTATTTGACCAGGTAAGGCCCACTGAGCTGTGAAGCTCTTTTTTTCAGAAGCGACCTGGCCACAAATGACAGCTCAACGAAGTGGCTTATCACGTGCAAATTTACAGCAGCAAACCATTCTAAATGCACGTTTCTAAATGCGGAGGGAAAAACCCGAGGACCCGGAGAAAATCCACTCGATCACGGAGAGAGAGATACACAAACTCCAAATATACAACAGGCGTCAGTGTCTGAATCGAACCTACGACCTCCTGTATACCAGGCGAGGTAGTTAACATCTCCTAGCCACAGTTTCTCATAGACATGTCTTATGCTCTTCTCGACAGGTGACTGAATAGAGCAGACGATGGCTCCGTCCCTACTTTACAGAGGAGAGTTAGGAGAAGTAATAATAATGTAATAATTTCAACTTGTAACACGCCTACCGCCACAGAATTTCCTCATTCTCGTCGTGAGGGAATGACTCAGTCGCAAAGAGGAACCACAGAAAAGCAGGAAGGCAGCCACGTGGTGAGCCGGCACTACCAGCAATTGCCAAGGCTCTGCGGTCCTCTGTATATTGAGGTGTTATCGGCCAATTAGTGAGCGCTTACACGTGGTAGGAAACTGGAGCACCCAGAGAAATCGCACGTGCGAAGGGGAAACACTCTATCCCATAAATACGGCACAGGTGGAGTCCACGCGTCTGCTATACAGCAGGCTCCTGGCGAGTCAATGGTAATAGCACGTTGATGCCAATGGGACGGAAATTTCATGACATTTGTGCGTTAATCCACCAACCGTCGCTGCTGCCTCCACAGTGCTGGATTAAAGGCAGCCACGCGCATAGCCACCACCACCGCCTGGCTAAGAAGTGTACTGAGGTTGTTGGTCGGGGGACATGTAGAGGTTTTGAAATAATGTTTTTTTTACAATTAATCCCCATGTCTATAATGTTAGTGGGCTATCCATAATGGTTCACTCTGTAGAGTATCATCAAAGCCTCACGAAGTGGTTCACAGCTGAAGGTGCAGCCCTGAAAAGTCTCGCTCATGCCACTGCGGGCGGAAAGCCCTCCCACTAGAGTAGGCTACAGAGTTACTCCAGAGGGCATTTTGGCCTACTCTTACATGCTGAAAATACAATCTTGGAAGGTGAGTACTCATATTTTACCCCACCACGTGCGATCTACCAGGGGCGGGGGGGGGGTGCTGGGTAAGGGGGGAAATTCATCAAAGGAAGTTTCGCTGTTTCAACTGCTTCATGTGAGATTGATTTAATGACCTCCAGTTTACAAGTCTAGTGGTTGTAACTGTTCCACTCTGACCTGGCAGTATCCTGAGCAGTAAAAAGTTAAACTAAATTAGGGAGAAACAAAGAGGTGGTGTGGGTAGTAGGGTTGAGGGGCTGAATGTGGATAATTATTGACCTCGGCGGATGATCTATCCAGGTGGCAAAAACATCTCCTGGGTCTCGAAAACAAGTGCTACTTTGTTGGGAGACGACTGTGCAGGTCCTAAAGGCTGAGCTCTGCTACAAAAAAATGTATTAAGTTCAACCAGTGGCTCTGGATGGGCCGATGGACGAAGACGAGCGGGGAGACACTTTGACGTTCTGAGAGGCAAGAAATGTTTTAATTGGTGCGAAGGCGAACGAGGTTCACGTCCTTTGGTGGACGCGTTGCGATGTCGCGCGCGCATCAAATCCCACGCAGCACTGGCACGACAGGTGTGGCTACTCGGCCTCTCATCTACACCGTGCATTGCGCTGTGTTCTTAGTGGACCTTCAATTGTGATGATGTATTCCGGGTTATTATACCATTTGGGAACATGATTAGGAAAACCAATTGGTCCTTGAGGAAATACATCACGCCCTTTATAAAAGGTCCTGCATTGACATGTTTGGCCAATACCATTCATGCACGTTTGTCATGTTGGAAAACATTCAAAACAAAAGTAGCCTTTGAAAAGCCTAATGACAAGCCTGGCAACGATCAGCACCGGGCTTGGAAGGGATGGGGAGGGGGATGGGTCAGGTTCAGGACCGGTTCAGACATCACTGGACGCTGGCTACTGCTGTTAGCCGCGGTCCTGATTTGAACTCTGATGGCCCATGATCATAGCGCGACCTAAAGAACGTGCCGGGAACGTTGTGACACCCACCAATCATCGCTATGACTCAGTCTCCCGAGTTCAGATCGTGCTGTACAAGAGAGATTGCGATGACGTGGGCTAAATAGGCATTACACCAGCAGTGGATAGATTACGGCTGATCATCCAGTCCCGTAGCGTTGGGGGGGGGGGGGCTAAATCCCCCCCCCTACTTAAGGACCCCCTTCTAAATTCTTAAACAGCACTGTCGTAGAATGAAGATGAAGTGGTATTTTACCAGGCAAGGCCCACTGAGCTACGTAGCTGACACAAGCGACCTTGCTATTACAAATGATCGCGCAACGGCAGCAGTTGATCGCGCGGACATTTATCGCAGCCACGTGCACTAAACGCGCGTGTCTAAGATTGGCATCACAGCATTTCCTCGGTACTGTTTAAACACAACAGAGCCAACGTAGAATAAACAGGAACAAAGCAGATCTTATCGTTACTGTCCGTCTTACGTTTCACTTCGGTTTCACGTTTGTTTAACTGTGTCGTGAACCTTTAAATTGTTTCCATGGCCTCCCGCATTAAACGTGGTAACCCTACAGGATTGTGAACATGGTGACGACGACGATAACGATGTCCTACACCAAATACTAAACTCGCAATCTTGATTTGAAGCTTTCGTGACTGCAGGAATCCACTCTTTGGTTCTTTCGGTAAAGTCAACGTAGGTATAAAAATAATAGATCACGACGTTTCGATCGCAACACAAGCAATCGTCATCAGGTGGGACAACCACAGCAAGAAAAATAAGTAATATTTTTAAAAACGTTTTTTTTTAAACACGCTTTTATGAAATGTGCAAGTAATGACAGAACTCCACGACTCCAGGGAGTGGCCCCGAAGCTTGCCATAACGTAAGGGACCGTAGACAATTACAGCCAACGTTAGTTGAGCGTGGACAATTAGACCCAATATAGTCTTGTCATCAGTATGACATAAGTATACCAATTCATAATATTCATAATAAGTATACCAAGTTTGCAGTCGATACCACATTGGGAAGTGGGTTCAAATTGAGTTACAAGATTTGAGGATACAACGGACGACAACAACAGAGTGAGTTAAAAGAAAGCGTGTAATAAAAACTGCTCAAGTAGCAGACACCCCCGCACGTGGAAGTCTTGGAGGACGAGAGGGCTTTGGGTGCAAACCAGCTCCGACAACTCAGACCGCAGTGAAACTGGTAAACACGACCACCAATCTCGCCCACTCCCCAACCACAAGGCAGGCAGGAAACAAGATAGCCACGCCTTGGCCATACTCACGTTGGTGTATGAACACACACACGTGTTTGCCGTACAGTTTCCACCCACGAACTAAGGCCCACGCATGTATATATATATTTTTTAACACGGGCAGAGATCCTTGTTCTATAACCATCGGGCAGTGTTGGTGTCAGCAGGCCTGAATCCTGTTAAAGGATTGTTGAAACCGATTCAGGTTGCTTGCTGTTGAGGAACCAACGCTGTATTCTTAGTTCTTTCGGTAAAGTCACGTTGAAGGGAAACAATAAAATATTGTTTTTATTGTTTTATATATATTTTATTATTTTATTGTTTCCCTTCAACGTGACTTTACCGAAAGAACTAAGAATATGAATTACTGCAGTCACGAAAGGTTTAAATAAAAATTTGAACCAACGCTGCTTTAGTGTTTAGTTTGATGTCCCCCCCTCCCCCGCAACTCCGATTAGCACGGTTGGGTACGTGCAGTGCAGAAGAAGTTCAACGTAGAATACGTTGAACGCTGCTCGTAAGATTCGTAAAGACCGCGCGATTTAATGGATTGTGGAAAATATCTTAACTTGCTT